TCGAATGCCAGGGGGTCGTTGACGGCCAAGTCAACTTCTGGGTGTTCTTGCAGCTCTTCCGGGCCATGAAGCGAAAGCAGGCTGAGCTGCCCTCTTGGAATTTTCGGTTCAGGTTTTTGGGGTTTTAGGGTGTAGAGTTTTGGGTTTAGGGTTTAGGGTTTTGGGCTTAGGCCACTTGAGGTTTGGGGGCCATTGAGGGGGGGGGCATATACGGGCTTTATTGATGAAAGCATTGCTTCTTTTGGCTTTTTGAGTCGTCCCCCACAAAATCGTGGGCTCGTGCGAGTTTCATGATCGATTGTGCAGGATGAGGAGAAGGAGAGGCGGCTCATGGCGGTGTGCGACGAGGTCAAGTTCACCTCGCAGGAGTTCACCCCCAGCTGGGTACTAGGGGGTATGGGGGGGGAGGGGGGGGTATAGGTATAAGGGGGGAAGCGCTAGGGGGGGGGGGGGGTTAAAAGGGGTGTAAGGGGGGTACAGCTCTTCCCTTGAAAGGATTTTCCAAAACACATTGGTACCTGTGCCTTTGGCTTAGGAGGGGCTCAAGTGGTTTTAGGATGCAAACTCCTCACTGCGCAGGAGGTGAGCCAGTTCCAGGAGGCGTCACTTCTCAGAGGGTTTAGGGGAGAATTGGGCACCTTATGTCTCCCCAAAGAGTCCGTCAGGGGTCAGGCGACCTGGTTTTCGCATTCCCCTCTCAGCACTCGTCAGAGTTGAAGAAAGGAAGTGGCGTTCCCACGCATTTCTTGGGCCGCTTTGTGCACGTGGTTTTGGGGGTTCTAGGTGGGCTGTTGACTTTGGGGACCTGTGAGGTTCTCTGCTTTAGGAAGACACTCAGCCACCGCCAGCTTATGAGAGATTTGGGATTAATTCGGCCCCCCCGAAGCCCAATAAACGCCTCAAAGATCTCAAGCTGCAGGGTTGCCACTGTTCCGAACTGTAATTATGTTCGGTTCGTGGGTTCAGGGGGCAGGGGCAGCCGCGCGGGGGAGTCTTGCAATCCGTGAGCCTGAAAAGCTGGACTCACCCGTGCCGGGGGTCGAAGGGAGGGGAGGGGGGCCACCCGCACGACAAGCGGCCTTGTCTCTTATGCAACGGTTTCCGGTTTCTTGTCTGCATTGGCTTGAACTGCAGGGTCCGGGGCTTAAGCAAAGGAACCTTTTCCCCGAGTCAACCCTCTACGTTTCTTTGTATCCGGTTCGGTTCGTTGACGTTTCGGGTTCTTGATCGGTTCGGTTCCTGCAGTTCCGATTTCTCGGTTCTGTGGCTTGACTAAAACTTTCTGAATTTCTGAGGTCCCCCCGTAACCCCAAAACCCTAAACCCCAAACCCCAAACCCCAAGTCCTAAACCCTAAACCAGCCCTTGCATCGCCAGGTCTTCGAGCATTGCTGGTCCTCCCTCTACACAGACGGAGTGACTTCAGACACAAAGCTGCTGCCGAGGAGATGCGGATTAGGGTTCGCAGTAAACCCCCGGAAACATCTCAAGCTCTCTCTTGGGATGCATATTAGGGGAGTTGACTTACTTTCTGAACATTTTGGGCCTTATCAGGGCTATAGTGGCCTGACTCAAAAAGGCTTCGACCGTTTCGGGTATCCACGGGCACTGGTGCACTCCAGAATGTCGGACACTGAGACAGCTACCATGTGATACGAAGCCACCCTCTGGTAGTCTAGTGTGATGTCGACTCGATTCCCCGCATTCTTGGGCAGGACGGCTGTGTACAAGCTCTTCAGCAGCCCGGCAGCCATTCGTGGCACGCTTTGCGCAGCCTCCCGAAGCGCCACACATAGCCCCACAATCCAGACATGTCGGCTCAAACTGGCCATGAATTCTCTCGGCAAGTTCAGGGTTTAGGGTAGACCCTTGGTGCCGCCACAGACTTCACCCATGCTGACTACCTTTCGCAGGATCCCGACACCGACAAACCCTCCCGAAAACTCCTGAACCTACAGCCCCAGAACCCTAAACCTCAAACTGAGATGCTGAGGAAACATGGGCATGCGCCTGGAAGGCACGGGGCAAGCCGTGGGGTGCGCTAGAGCCAAATAAGGTTCGCTGAATCTGACCCCTAACCCCCTAAATGCAGAGCTCAAGCCAAAAAGCCTAAATCCCAAGCACCCCGAAACCCGACTAGGTCACCCCTAATCCCTAAACCCTAAACCCTAAACCCTAAAGCCCTAATCCCTCAACCCTATACAACTGTTGGTGCCAGGACGGACTCGACAAGGCCTAGACGAGCAGCTCAACGCCTTGCAAGCACAGAAAGGGTGGCCCGGTTGGAGGTTTAGGGTTTAGGGTTTAGGGTTGAGGGTTTAGGGTTTAGGGTTTAGGGGTTCCGGGACTCTGGGGGTAGTTTAGGGGCTTAGGTGCTTTAGGGGTCTTTCCCAAAATTAGGGCTACCCCTTTGAAGCCCCAAAGAGAATAGAATCCCCTTAGAGGGACCCCCCAAAAAGGGTCCCCTATTTTTGGAAACCTTCTTAGGGGTAATTTACGGACTACGGGGTTTGCGAGGCATATGTGATTCCGCGGTTACAAGAGATCTTGTTCCGCTGGGCCCGACCTCCCAGGCCCGAAAATCACGAAGCTCAGACACCCCAATGCTCCACGCCTCCAACTCCCGAAGCCCTCTGGACTACTTAGGGTTTAGGATTCAAGTTGTTAGGGTTTAAACCCTAAACCCCTGAACCCATAATGCCCGCAAGCCCTATATTCCCTCTAAAACCCTTGAAACCAACAAAGGTTGGACTTTCCCAACTTTCTCATGCTCATGCGGTGGATGCTGGACGTCGACTTCTGCAACATCTCCAGCAAAGCCACCTGAGGGTAGAGCTCACGCCTATGTGCCTCATAGAGTTTTAGGGTTTAGGGTTGGGGGGTTTACAGTTGGGCACCTCAAGCCCGAAACCCCAAACCCGAAGCAACAAAAGAGCTGGCTGCGGCCAGCCACATCCCGGCTCCCTCTTCGAAACCCCTTTGGCTTTGTGTTCCTTGCAGTTGCAACTTTAGAAATTTCGTTTTGCATCCTCTTGTCACTTGTCACCAGGGCCAGACGCCTTGCCAAGCCAGAAGAAGTGGAAATTGCCGCATCCCAAAGTCCTAAGCCTTGAACCTTCCAGCCTATGACAGTACATCTAAACTCGCAGCTATCTTTCACATGTTTTCAGAAGTTTAGGGGTTCGGAGAGTACAGAAAGAGAGGGTTTAGGGCCAATCTTTGAGTGCACAGGCTGCTCCTTGTTGTTTTAGGTTTAGGGCTTTGAGGGGTTAAGGTTTAGGGAGCTTTGGCTAAACCCTGAACCCCAAAGACCCTTACCAACGACCTGAAAACCCTATACGCCCTAAACCCAGAAACCCTGAATTTTTGAAAGACCCTTGACAGCCCTCAATGCCCTCTCAGCCATAAACCCTCGAAACCCTAAAGGCCCAAAAAGCCTTAAATTAAGTCAGACTGAGGGCCCCGCCCCAAGGCGCTCGGGAGTCTGGAGTTGCGGTTGTTGGAACCCCCACATGTGGGCATTTAAAGGGGGTCACCTCTGCCAGTGCCGAGTCGAGAAGGTCTGCATCAGGGTGCTTTAGCCCCGGTTTGCCCTAAACTTCGCTTCTGAGCAGACCTGCTTAGGGATGCTTCGGGCCGACACGAAGAACGCAGCTCAGCAGCCCCTAGAAGGGCGCGTGCCACCGGCCACCAGCCTCCTCCTCCAACCAATGGGCGGAGCGGATTTGGTTTTCCCAGCTCTTCAGACCGTGAGTCCTGATTCCATGGGCAGCTGGGCTTGTAGCACTCTTGCTGAAGGCTTGAGAACTTGAGCGTGTTGAGTGTGTCAGGGTTCTGCAAGTCGCAAGCTGCCTTCAACTGCCTTCGAAAAGCACTGCCTGTGGCTTTGGGGCAGCTGGGGTTTCGCCCGGAGCCTGCGCCCTTCCGAGGAGGAAGAACCCGTGTCACCCCTGCTTGGGCTCCGAACCCAAGAGGCAGCAGAGAGGAGGAGGGGGAGGGGAGGTGGCTCCGACCCTTTCGATATCCCTGCAACCCTAAAAATCCCGTTTCTGATCATGTCTCAAAGCCCTGGAACTTTGGGACACTAAGACCACCTTCCATGAACCCCTGAGCCCTAAACCCTAACCCCTAAACCCCATGAACCCCTGAGTCCTCCCGTTAAGAACCTTAGAGCTTGTTATGGAATCAAGCTCGATGCAACCACGGCCAAGCCGTGGCGCAGACGACGCGGCCCCAACCAGAGCAGGGCGAGCCAAAAGAGGCAGATTTTGTTCATAGGGTTTAAGGGGGTTTGGTGTTAGGGTTTAGGGTTTGGGGTTTGGGGTTTCGGGTCACAAGGTGTGCGGGTTTTTGTGGGTGTAGGGTTGTGGGCCAGCTCAGGGTAGGCCTCAGAAGTGTGTGTGACTGTTGCCTGCCGCTTGCCTTCACGGCCGGGGGGATTCGGGCATGCACGCAGAGTTGCGAGGGACAAGGCCACTTCACTGGAAATTAGAGGTGCCAACCTACCATTTGGCCTGAAGGTCTCATGAGTGGCATCATCCGCTTTGCGCTTGAACTCCTGTACAGTCCGGGTCCTGGGGCCCTCCAGCGGCTCAGCTGCGCCATGGCCTGGACATCTCGCTCCACGCACGCCAGAAGCCTAGTGACCAACATTTTGCATGCCACGCCTTCTACATGGGATTGTGGGTATGGGACGGTTCTGAAACTAATGCAAGCGGTTTATGCATCACTCGGTTCCTCTTCACGCTGCTGCGGCTCTGCCGCATGACAGCCGTCACAACGCCCCAACTCCAATGAACCTCGTGTATCGGCCATCCACACCATGCTGGGAATGCTCTGCCCGGTAGATAGGAGTCACGCCGGCAGTTGTAGTTCCCACGGTGTTTCTGCATGATCTGCTGATATCTGCTGCATGCGACTCAAAGATGCAGACATGTAATAATCCGGAATGTCAAGGGGCACCTAGTTTGCAAAGCAACGGTGCCGTGTTTGACTTTTTTGATGAGCTGCCGCCTCTTGGACGTCAACTTGATCATCATCGGTGATGGGCCCGAAGCTGAGGTCCTGCTCCAGAGGCGCCTGCAGGCTGGCGGGAGGGCATGCCTCCTCTACACCAGCCGTCGGCCCCAGCTACCCCAGTTCCGATGGAGGGGTGATCGAACAGAAAACAAGGAGGAACCGGAGGTCGAGGAGGACGCTGATACAGAGCCCATGTTTGAAGAGGAGACGTTCATTTGGCAGCCCCCACGTTGTGACCAGCGAGAGCCTTGTGCGGCCGTGCGCCGTCTCAGGCGACGCTTCCACTGCGCTCAGATTGGCCTGATCCGCATCGGTCCGGACATCATCGAGTTGGAGGCAGAGCAAAGATACGAGCTGATAAAGGACCGCAAAGGCAACCCCACGGGCGTGCGAGTGTTCAGAGCGGAGGCCAACATCGATGGCGACGTGGAAGGCAACGTGGTGTGGCAAGTGAGCGGAGCCGTAGTGCTAGCCGACGCGGTGGCCACGGACATCAGCGAGAACTCATGGCCGAGTCTAGGAAGAACCAGAGCCTGGGCGCAAGGCGTTGACGTGCAGGTGGGGCACCACTTGGTCAGAGCACGTTTTTTTCTTTTATGTGTCTTGGGTGTGCGATTGTCTCCGCTTGAGCTGCCCTCCGTCTGGTGCAGTACCTGTTGCAGAGAGGTGCTGTGCTTTTGCTGTATAGTCCTGTGCCCCCCCTAAACTCCCGGAGGTGCATTGGCAGGATGCAAAGCCTGTGATGATTTCGCACCATGGACCAGTGCTGAGCTCCGCCATTTGGTTCATCGGCTGCATGGTCCTCTTCTACGTTCCCTCGGCATATTTCGAGCCGAAACTCGAACCTGGACACTTTGCATGGTGGCGACTCTTGGCCCCTCTAATCCTTATGGTGCTGCCGCTTCAGATGCACCCAATGCTTGCAAGGGCTGCTTTGGGCTTCCGCCCCGCGAGACGAGTTGCTCTCCCTGTTCAAGCCGTTGCAGTGGCGGTCTACTTTTTAGGCCAAATTCCGCCCATGTACGTGCTGGGAGGCTACTACCATCTCCCATATTTCGCGGGGTGGATTCTTGTCATGGAGATTTGGGTGGCATTGGAGCTGTACCTCATGTACTGCTTGCACCGGGACAAGAATTCGGCGATCGAGCCTTGCAAGCACCCGGGTGTGAAACACAGGGATTTCAAGAGACAAGTGCTTTGGACTTTGATGCTGAGCTGGTCGCGGACTGTGATTCAGATTACCATGTGGCTCATCACCCTCATCTACGGCTACGTGGAGCCTCTGAATAGCTACGTAGCAGGACTATGGCTGATAGCAAGCACGGCCGCAGCCGAACTCGTGCTCGTTGGCACCACGCAAGTGCTGTACGACCGTATGGTCTGGCGTCCAAGGGTGGACCCCACCTCTGAGGTAGCTGTACAGGGTGACCAGATGGAAAGCCCCAGCTGCCTGATTGGGTTCGCCCACGGCATCTGCGAGTCCGTGCGGCTTACGAACCTGTTGGCAGCGGCCGTCTATAGCAGCTCTTGGCAGTGGAGTTGGCTCGGCACCATTGCCATGACTTTTGTGGGGAATATTGTCCAGCGCCAGGGGATTCACACGTATCTAGCCCTGCTGGTGCTGCCGAAGCGCTTCTGGAAACTGATCCGGCCTAGCTGCGTGATGTTCATGCACCGGCATGCTAGGTTTTACTGCGGGTACTACCGTTTCTTGGGTGTCCTTGGTTTCATTGCAGTCAATGCAACTGCGCGAGAGGTGATGCCGGAAAGGCCCCGGGAGCTGCTCTTTAATGGGCAAACGCTTGCATTGGCCTTCGTGCTTTTCATGATGGAAGTTTTGGAGGACATCGTTGTGGGTTTCAACATACTTCCTGTGGACCCGTGGAGGGACCGCATGAAACACCTCTACGAAGAGCTTCATCCACTTCACATGAAACAGCTTCTGTGCAAGGACTCCCGTGGACTCTCCAGCGACTTGCCGCCCCTGCGCTTGCATGGCGCTCGCTATCTTAGCACCGGCGTGAGTCGCCTGCTGATAGACACAGGCGCGCTGAAGTTCATGATGTTCTTGTGGGTCCGATTAGGCATCGGCTACACCTTCGGCATCTGTCCTGAGCCGATTCCACCCGGTCTACGGGTTCTTGACGCAATAGCCTGGACGACCCCATGGCGTTGCAGCTGATGTCTTGTGCTCATATTACGCTTTCAAAACAAAACTAGTGATAGCTCGCGCAGCTGCGTTGCACTTGGCTCGTTGGAGTAAGCAGCAGGCTGCATTTTGAGCTGCTTCGTGATATCTGCAAGACTCCCTGGCTGTACCCAGGCCTTGCAGTTCTTCCGCATGATAGAGCGGTTGTTTTTTCCAAATCTCCGGAATGATGCCCGGTGTTCTTCGGCATGATAGAGCGGTTGTTTTCCACATCTCCAGGATGCTGGGTGATGTAAATTAAATGTCTCCGCGGCTAAGCCCCGGCCACATTTACCCTTCCGACTCAGCAAGTCAGCCAATCATCAAGGTGAACGGCAGCGTCGTCTGTGGCAGTAGAAAAAAGGCCTTACGACGATGTTTTCTGAGGAGTGATCATCCCCCAGGCTGGTCATGAAGGTCGAAGTGCAAACTTACGAGGCATACTGGCGATCAGACGTATGCTTACCAAGAGCCAGCAAAGCCGAAACCTTGATGTCCTAAGCCCCCTACATTCGTGTCCTAGACCCTTTACACTCTGAACCCTCAACCATCCGAACCTTCTGATTCCTGTTCAACCCCCCAACACGGTAAAAAAACCCAGCCCCACCCGGCCCTAACCCTGGTTACCACTGCTCAAATTGTCAGCCCTATACTCTAAACCCTAGACAGGCACCGCCGGGAGCCGGGCGTGGCCGCAAGCCAAGACCAGCGGAAACCATTGGCTCCAAAAGATGCTCCGAGCGAGTTTCGGGAATGGGGAACTACAGGGACTACAGGGATTACGGGGAGAACAGGGAGACTGGAGGGATTTGCAGGGTTTATCGTTTCCAGGGACCATAGGGTTTAGGGATTATGGGGACTACTCCTGTCTTCACAAGCTTCACAGGGGCCAGGGTGGGGGGGGGCGGAGGGAGTGGAGTGGATGCGTGCACGTCTTAAAGAAGCCCCATAGGCCTCCGAGCGATTCAGGATTCAGGTTGTAAGTATGGGTTGCATGTTTTTATAACCGTCGTGGCATGTCGATGTAGCGTTGCGAGGGACAAAGCCACGCCGGCCGCACCTCAAAATGTGGGTCAACGAGGTTCATGCGATTCATGCCTGCAGATTTCATTTCTCGTAAATGGGGTGCCACAGGCAGCTCTCACAATTAGCTGCCGCAGCTTTTCGTTTGGCCTGGGATCATCAATGGCATCTGCTTTGCGCTTGGATTCGATTGCTGTGCAGTTCGGGTCTTGGGGGCCTAGAATGCCATGGCCTGGACATCGTGCTCCAAGCACGCGTACGCCGGGAGCCCACACATGCTTCAAGCAGCATCGAGTCAAGGAAGGCGTGGGGTGAGGAGGTGTTCTATCACCCCAAAATACCAGAAGCCCTTCATGAAGTCCCTCAGGAATTCACCTCTGCGCTGTGCTCTCAACTTGCGCACTGTCCATGAACGTTCCAGCCTCACATCCAAGATGTGTAGCTACCCGCAAACTCTCTCAAGCAACGTGCTCAACCCTAAACCCTAAACCCTAAACCCTAAACCCTAAACCATCATCCACATCCCATCCCAAGAATCCTTGCCGATGCTGCCCAGGCCCGGCACAGGCAGCTCCATGTCGGCCAGGAGCGCCGGGAGAAGAGGCCCCCTTGCTTCTTGGGTAGGTGGGATCTTCGGATTTTACGGTCTTAAACCTTCGGAACTTTCGGAACCATGAATGCGCTGGCTTCCCATTGTGCCTGCAGCTAGTTCCGAGGAATGATTCCAAGTCTTGTGCTATACGGTGCTGTCCAACATTCCAGTAGCTGCAATTCGGACACCACTGATGGCTCCTGCGATCTTATGCGGACAGTTCCGATCTTAGCCTCAACAACCTTCTGAGAAACGGAAGGTGCGAAGCTGGCAGGGGCGAGCCAGCCTTCGTGGCAGCCTGGGAAGACCGACTGCGCCCGAGGCCCAGCTCGCCTCTTAAGGTTCGTTGTGGGAAACTCCCAGTGAAGGCTTTGCGAAGTGCAGAAGAAACACAGCAAAACTCTGCCGCAGCTGCAGTCGCCGCAGCTTCTGTCGCCACTGAGGCCATGTTCTTTCTATTTGCGCTGCTCCTGGCAATGGTCGGCCTGGCAGCAGGGAGGTTGACAGGAGCAAGGCTCGCTTCGCAGAAACAACCGAGGTCACCTCCTTCATCAGTCTCCACATCCTCATAGAGAAGGGTTCCGCGCCTACACCGAGGCCCCAGTGCAGTTGGAGGGTGGACCACTTCTCCGTTTTACCTTGTTCGGGGGAGAGCAGACGTTGTTGCTTGGGAAGAATGCTTAGAGCTTTGAGGGCTTCACGAAACATCGGCCAGATGACCTTCTGACCGGTTCTTAGAAGAGGCCACCAAAGGGATCATTCAGAGCCCCAAAAGACTGGAGAGAGGAGTCTCGACGACCTTTACTGTCTCAAGCGTTACCCTCAACACTCGACCTAGAACCCTACAGCTGCAGGCGACTGAGGAGCTTTGCCAGCAAGCTTCTGGTACAGGCCGAATCGCGGGTCTCATTGATATTGTGTGGAGTCAGGAAAAGGCTTTAGCGTTTCTCCCTAAACCCTAAACCCTAAACCCTAAACCCTAAACCCTAAACCCTAAACCCTAAACCCTAAACCCTAAACCCTAAACCCTAAACCCTAAACCCTAAACCCTAAACCCTAAACCCTAAACCCTAAACCCATACAGTGTGGCTTGGCAGGCGGCTGGGATGTCCATCTCCTCCACTACGGCCGCTGGTGGTCTTCCAGGGGCCCTCGTGGCCCCAGGCAGCGCACCCCGGAGCGACAGCACAACCCTGGAGGCCGGCCTTCGAAGTCTTGCAACCACCTCTGAGTTTCCGAGTTTCCTTAAAGGGTTTCGGGGTGTAGAGAGGGCTTCAAAGGGGGCTTTAATTGGGCTCCTAGGGGTCCCATAGTATGGACAGTGGTTGTTAGAGCTTGTAGGGCTCGGTTTAGGGGATCGACCGGGATGAAGGGGTAGCTAGGCATGGTTCCTGGCAGGCTCGTGCGCCATTGCACACTGGAAGCTCCCATGCCGGACTTCCCCGAGCTGCTCCGAAGAAGTCCGACAAGTCCTCATGGAGCAGAGGCCAAGAACAGGCACCTTGCTGGATGCGACCAGCGGGAAGATGCCCTAAGCCCCATCAAGCACTGTAACACATACGAAACCCTCCAATAAACCCTCTCAGACCCCAGAAACCCTCAACCCCCTGCGTCCTGTCCTGTTCAGGCAGCATTTCCTGGGAGCCACGTTGGCCTTCCCCAGGCGATCTGTCTTACATTTTGGGGCCAAGTTCCTGGTAGCTTGCAGGGTTTGGTGTTGCAGCTCCACGATCAATCCGAAAGGCCCAGTTGCAGTATCCAAAGAGTTCTGGCATCGCACCGGGAGAGCAGTGCAGTGCGCAGTCAGGCCAGTGAGCCGTTCCAGACGTTACAACACTGTAGGCCCCAAAATGACTGTGAGCCCTTCGACCTTGTCACCTCCCCACCCCCCACCCCCCCGCAACATAGTACCCTAAACCCTAATCCATGTGTGTGTGTGTGTGATCGTACACCCGGTACTACCGGAATTCCCATTGAGGTATGTGAACCATAAACCCCAAGACCATAGACCCGAAACGCTCAACCCTAAACCCTAAAACACAAGGACTCAAATTCAAAGGATTCAAAAGGAACCTCTAGGTAGGAAAGTAGCTCCAAAACTGGCCCCAGGCACCCTAAAGCTAAGTAGAAACCCTGAACCCTAAACTCTAAAGCCATTTAGGGTTCAGTGGGTTCCCAGGGATGATGCCGACACTTAGGGTTTAGGTGTGTGTGTGTGTGTGTGTGTGTGTGTGTGCGTGTGCGTGTGCGTGTGCGTGTGCGTGTGCGTGTGCGTGTGCGTGTGCGTGTGCGTGTGCGTGTGCGGGGGTGTGGGGGTGTGGGGGTGTGGGGGTGTGGGGGTGTGTGTGTGTGTGTGTGTGTGTGTGTGTGTGTGTGTGTGTGTGTGTGTGTGTGTGTGTGTGTGTGTGTGTGTGTGTGTGAGGGAGGGAGTGAGTGTGTGTGTGTGTGTGCCAACCCTGTTGCCAAGGGAGCAAGTGTGAAGAGCTGTTACCGTTAGAGCATGCAGGGGGATGTGGCGTGAGATCAGGGACCACATCCAATGAAGCTACCTGATCTCATGGGATGCAGAACTTGGCCAGTTCTGTGTACCTGCGATTTCTTCAGTCTCACGAATCATTTTAGCAAGTTGGGAACTTCAGGATTGTGAGGTGTAGACCAGGTAAACAGGACCCCAAGACTTGGTGTGGAGAGTGCACAAGTGTGCTCCAGGCAGTATTCGTCTATCGCACTGTCTGCAGCAGGGTTGCCTGCCTGATACTATGGTCTTGATTGACCATCCTGAGCTCCCTGATCGGAGCAACAGCCTGTCAGCATTTCCCCCCTCAACTGCTGCAGCGAGTGAAATTGACTGTGTCCACAGTCTGCTGATGTTCAAACCAGATACCGAACAGGTCCTACGCCTGTTGTCGATCCATCCTGTTAGAGACGTCAGCCAGGGTTATCTCCACCCAAGTGATGTTGCGTGAGTGTTGATCGGTGTACCATTGTTTACGCAGCGTGTTGAGAGAGATCAAGTTCCTGTAGTGCTGTAGTCTTCCGTGTCAGCAGCGCAGAGATGTGGAATGCAGAATCCTGCGGGTAGAGCCAGACGGTTGCAAGTGCAAGTTTCTTCGTGGCAGCGAGTGATTCTCACTGACTTGCAGCGTTGCGTGCAGTACATGCTCAGTCTGTTGCCAGCAGATTTTCGCAATTCTGACCAGCAGAGATTGTGGCAGCTGCACATGTTCTTGAACTTGAACTTGACTTTATGCTTGTGCTCAATGGCTGCAAGAGCTCCGCTCTTCTGATTGAAGGGTGTGTGTGTGTGTGCCAACCCTGTTGCCAAAAGAAAAAGTGTGAAGAGCTGTTACCGTTAGAGCATGCAGGGGGCTCCCTGATC